CAGCTCGTCCCTGCCTCCCTAACCTGTTCTTCCTCCCACCTATCCCCCCCTCCCACCTCAAGCCGCACCTCCATCTCCTACCGACCAACCTCATCCTGCCCCCTTGACCTGTCCGTCCTCCCTGGACTGACCTGTCCCCTTCCTAACTCCCTACCTACACTCACCTTTACTGGCCCCATCCCCGCCTCTTTGATCTGTTTGTTTCCTCTCCAACTATCCTCTCCTCTATCCCTCTTCTATCCGCCTCCCACTCTCTCCCTATTTATTTCAGAACCCCCTTCCCCTCCCCCTTTTCTGATGAAGGGTCTAGGCCCAAAACGTCAGCCTCTCTGCTCCTATGATGCTGCTTGGCCTGCTGTGTTCATCCAGCCCTGCACCTTGTTGTCTCGGATTCGCCAGCATCTGCAGTTCCTACTATCTCTGAAATAAAACACTGCTGTCTTTATTTTACTACCTTGGTGTTTGCCTTTCCCTTTCCTTTGCAAATGAGATCAGGACTTCAGCATGATAGACATGCTCAACTAGGCCATTCCATCAGGCACAGTGCACTGATGCTAGCAGCATGGATCTAACAGTCAGCCATTTAATCCCTTAGTCAAAACATGAAATTATTGCTAATAAAATCCATCCTGAACTATTTACTAAAATTATAACTAATACATTCCCTAACTCCATTCATCTACCCTTAATAGCTGTGGCTAGCAAAAATCTATTGCGAAAATAAAACAAAGAACTGTGGATGCTGGAGATTTGAAACAAAAAAAGCACAGATTACTGGAGAAACCCAGCAGTTCTAACAGCATCTGTGCAGGGAAAGCCATGTTAATGTTGTGAACATTTCGAGTCCAGTGACCCTTTTTCAGAACTAATAGCAACTCAGAAGAGGTGTTATTTATTCTGAGGATCCTCTCCCCATCCCTTCCCTCCCAGAAAAACGATTGGGTCCTCATCTACCACCCACCAGCATCCACATCCAAAGGATCATAAGCCACCATTTCCACCACCTCCAGTGGGATGCTGCCACCAGATACTTGTTCCCCTTCCCTCCCTTGTTAGCATTCCACAGGGACCATTCCCTTCGGGACACCTGGTCTACTCCTTATCCATTCCCAAAACCTCCCCACAAACCCAGGACACTTTTCCATGCAATTGCAGAGGGTGCAACATTTGCCCATTTACCACCTCAATTTTCACTATCCAGGGCTCCAGACGCATTTCCAGTGAAGCAGCCATTTCCCTGCACTTCATTCAATCTAGTCTACTGTATTTGCTGAGATGAAACACTGACTGGATTTTGCAGGATATAGAATAGAATATCCTTCATTGTCATGTGTACTCAAATACAAGATTACAGTGAAAAGTTTACAAGGTTATCTCCCATAGCACCATCTTGGGTACAAAATACCTAGGTATAAGTCTTAGATGCAAAAAGAGGAATAAAGAAGAAAATAAGTTGCGTTATCTTACAGAGATTTATAGTATAAGTTAGAAATAAGACATAGTTAAAAGGATAAACATTTCAGCCATAAAAACCCAATTACAGATAAACATTACATATTTCTATGCTTGGTCAATACAAATGACCCTGAGTATCCAGTTACCTGCCACTTAAATACACCACCATGTTCCCATGCCAACATTTCTGTGTCAGGCCTGCTGCATTGCACTAGTGAGACTCGATGCAAGTCAGAGGAACAACAACAACAAAAACAGAAGTTGCTGAAAAAGCTCAGCAGGTCTTGTGGCATCTGTGAAGAAAAATCAGAGTTAAAGTTTCGGGTCCGGTGACCCTTCCTCAGAACAACACCTCATCTTCTGCTTGGGTATCTTACTCTTTTCGGGACTCGACATCGGGTTTAACAATTTTAGAACATGAGTACGTGTTCCCATGTTCATTACCTACACCCTGCTCCCCCAGCTGCTGTCATGAAACTGGCTGCTTTCAGCACAGCCAACCCATTTTTTTTTTTATTACTCAAAGTCCCCATTATCACCTATTTAGTTTCTCTTCTTCTCTGGCTTATTATCACTAATATGCTTTTTTTTTCTTTCTTTCCCTCTCTCTCTCTGATTTCTGTCTCCACCTTTCCACTCACTCCATTCCCCCCTCCCAATGTCCCCCACCCAAACCTCATTATCAGCATTGTTGCCACCTTTCCCAAACTGTTTCTAGTTATGAAAAAGGGTCATTGGACTCAAAACGTTAACCCTGTTTTCTCTCCACTGATGCTATCAGACCTCAAGTAATTTCTGTTTTTCTTCGTTAAAAATCTATAGTTCTTGGATTTAAATTGTTAATTGATCTTGTATCAACTGAATCAATGACTTCATAGTCATGCAGCCTCTTGGTAGAAATGAACAAAACAGAATTGAACTTCCCATTCCCTGTGAAGGAGAGAAGCTTAGGTCTCGCACTAATGTTTCAAACTTGTTATAACAAGGGTGTACCAACAGAAATGGAAATGAAGTTTAGGCAGGTTCATTGAGTTGCAATGGCAGACATTCAGTAAACATTTCATAACGTTCAGCTGCATTACATTCTAGTCAGAAAGAAATCCTCTCAGAGAAGAATACACCCTCTGTGGTGAACTAAAGTTCATGGTAATGTCAAATTGAAAAAAATATATACAATTCTGCAAAGAATGGTGTGAAGTCAAAGTTGGAAAGAAGATAAAGCCAGCAAAGCACGACAAAGAAGTATTTTATTAAATTGGAGAAGGTTCAGAAATGATTTTCCAGGATGTTGCCAGTATTGGAGGCTTTGAATTAAAAGGAGAGTCTGCTTAGGCTAGGACTTTTTCACTGGAACGTAGGAGGTTGAGAGGTAACCTTAGAGGTTTATAAAGTCATGAGGGGTATAGACAAGGTGAATAGCAAATACCTTTTCCCAAGGGTGGGAAAGTTCAATACTAGGGGGCATATTTTTAAGATGCGAGGAGAAATATTTAAAGGTACCTGAAGGGCAGTTTTTTCACAGAGTGATTCGTATGTGGAATGAACTGCCAGAGGAAGTGGTAGATGCAGGTACAGTTATAACATTTAAAAGACATTTGGACAAGTACATGAATAGGAAAGGTTTGGAGGGATTTGGGCCAAATGCAGGCAAATGGGACTATAAACTGCTTTCTTGTAGAAGAGATTTCCACACTTGTATCACATTTTGCATGAAGTGTTTTCTAATTTCTGTCTTGAATTGGTGCGCCATATCACTCTGCAATTAAATCTTATGCTTTTCTGTTTCAAAGAGAACTGGTTCAATTGTTTGTGAATATTTGCAAACTCAAACTGACTACATTGTATTTGTTTTAATCTTTTGTTTAATTCTAAACTATCAATCTAGTGTGACAGACAAAGCATTGCTGGCACTTCAACAGGATGTCCCTGCAGACCTACAAGACCTGGATTCTTTGGATTCCATGGTCCAAATGTAAGATTCTTTCACCTTTTTCAAGAAAATTTCCAGGGAGTAACTTTATGCTTTTTTTAATCAGAGGTTTGCATGTATTTAAAGGTACTGATGTAAACATCATTTTTACAGGGCTATCCAGGTGACAAAGGCAGATCTGGATTTCCTGGATCTCGGGGTAGAAAGGTACGTAAGGTCACTTTGGGAAGGCCTACACTAGTTTTTGTGCTTGGACTGGACATCCACTTAAGCATTTGTCTTAAAAACAGAACTGGTCTATCTAAGTGTATCACCAATGCCCACTTGCTTGAAAAGCTTGGTGCTCTTTCAACTGGGGTAATAAATAGTTTCACTTACCAAGGGTTGAATTAAATCTGCATTATTTTGTGCTTCAAAATATACTCTTTATGCTGTTAGATTACTAGATTAGCATAGGTGTCATCAAAGCCTAGGGTCTGGTGTTCGGATGTGGCCCAATGTGATAGTACAAATCACTATTCTATCATTTCTCACACAGTAAACCTTGAATTGTCATGGAAATTTGCTGGAAACCGAAGGACAAATTGTGGTAATTGCTGAGAGAACAAGTGTTGAACAAATAATGAGGGTAATCAGCTGTCCCATACTTTCTGGATTGTCCTGTAATTTGGTATAATTTTGTTGTTTTACCTCCATCCCGTACTTCATATCCCTAGGATGTCTTTTATTAATCTGTGTATTCCCAGTGATATTAAGCTCTGCCACATTGATGGTCTCATTAATTCCTCCGTGATAGCTTCTATGAAAACACCATCTGGATTCTCCTTTCAGACAAGGATAATCAAAAGTAATTTTGAAAACATTCAGAATATAATGAATGTTAAAAGTAAGTCCCTCTTTTAAGAAGCCCTCAGGTGGGATATTATTCTGAAAGTGTATGCAGGGATGGTAAATGGGCTGTTTGCTGCATGGTTGGAGGGGTGCAGTGTTCGTGGTGGTTGTAGTAGTCAGAAATAATCCTTTCAAATTTTTTTTCTACCAGTTGTACAAACCTGCAGCTGTACATGTTTCCAATAAATGTTAAAATTCAGTGTTTTGTGTGTGTTATAGGGTTATCGAGGTTTTAAAGGGGCCCAGGGAAGACGAGGCGATCCAGGACCAAGGGTAAACATTAATTGTAATATGTGATAAGTTCATTTCATGTCCTACATGTATGAATTTATGCTTTATATCTCGAGATTGATTGATTGATTTTTTTTTTTTTTTTTTTTTTTTGCATTCTTTGTCTTTAATGGGTAACCTGGATGAATTTATACTTTTAGTGAATGTTGAATATTATCCTAATAAAAGCAAAATTCTCTTAACATCCATAGTTCTTTTTTGAAGAAGGTATATTTGTAGCCCATTGAATAAGTGATCTGTTGTGCTGTTGAAGCCATAAAACCAGAAATAATCCAGACTTGACTACTGTTTAAGTTGATCTTGCAAGTCTGTGACATGGTGTTTTGGAGACCTTGGACCTCGGAGGAAATGACCGCAAATGGATTTTTCACTGTTATTGAAAGACCAACCTGGTCCCACTGTCTGTTGCTGTAGAGATGTTCACAGGTGGATATCAAACTGTGACTGTATTGGACTTTATTGGAACAGTCTCACAGATTTGGCAAATAAAATCTGAAAGTAATAATGGACTATGATGATTATTAAATAATGTACAATATCAATATCAAATGTTATGCATGAATTGTTCAATAGCAAGTTTCTACCTGCTGCAGACAAATTCTGAATAGAGACATTTGTTAGTGGAACTTTGAGTGATGCAAAAATGCATTTTAATCAGTGCATACACTCTGATACGTGCAGGACGTGAAGTGTACTTATCATTTGCAACCATTTTGCTTTTATTAGGATAATTCTTAATATGCATGGTGGATTGATCAGTTACTTAGTTCTGCCTATCAATAAGTTAATATTGATAGTGAAGATTATAGTTTCTAATATTAAATCAAAGAAATTGTAAACTTCAAAAGAAAAAGGAGAAATTTCAATAGTAAGAGAGGAAGTAAACATAACCCAGAAAATGACCTTGGTCACTTATGATTAACTTACGTATTTACAGGTTAAAAGGATAAACATCTTCTTTGGTGAAAATGTGGTTCTGAGATATGACTTTTGTTTACACTTTGGTTCTATGATTTTGTCTTTTAGGGTGAAAAAGGTGAAGAGGGTTCTCATGGAGATCCAGGTTACTCAGGAGCTATGGTACCACGAATCCCTTTATTTAAAAAAAGTGATAAAAATATTGAAGGAAGTTTTCCTTATTGTGTAAACTTGTAAAGTTAAACTGTTTTTGCATTATAGGGTGTTCCTGGACCCCCTGGAGAGAAAGGTGTGCTTGGTGCAAAAGGGAAAAAGGTACTGAGAAAATATCTTTCACGAGAAAGACTTTAGGATATGCATGCCAACTTATTCAAGACTTTGGCTAAGCATAACTGAATGACCTTTGGTGCAGTATTGGAAAATGAGTTCTCACTAGATTCAAAGTAGCCAATATTGTTTTCAATGAAATTCATCCCTGCCTTTCCTTCCAATCCCCCACCCTGTTATCCTCTCCTCACAGTACCCAACCAGAGAAATCCCCAACCCCTACAAGTCACTGACCAGAATACCGGGCCCTCTGTGATCAGGGCTACTTATCCACCAGCAGCCACAGCCGCCTCCTCCTGTGCTAAATGCCCCACAAACATCAAACTATGGGGGAGGACATGAGATTCTCACCAGTGACAGAGCCTCCCACCACCAATTCTCTTGTTATTTGATCGTTCCTGTCTTCCACCCTACCACAGAAGCTTCCTTTTGTCCTTTATTTCATTTGCTTAAAATTTCTCACTTTAATATAGTAAGATGCGCCAAGTACTTTACAATTTTTTTTAAAAACACACTCCAGCCTTTTAGGTGCACAGCTTTATCAATTATTTTGTTCACTTCAGAAGCATAGAAATATTTACAGCATTGAAGAAGGTCATTCAGCCCATTGTGCCTGTATCAGCTGCAAACTTCCTCGTTCCACATTCCAGCTGTCTGTTTGTAACTCTGCAGTTACAGCCTTTCAAGTACACATCCAAGTATGTAATGATGATTTCTCCATTACCTCCATTTCAGGTTGTGAATTTTGGATGCACAACACCCTCTGGGTAAACAATTTTTCAACTCCCCTCTAATTGTTCTGGCAATTACTTTAAATCTATGTCCTTTGGTTATTGACCTCTGGTCTACTGAAACCACACATAAATTTTACACCTCAGTTAGATCTCCCCTCAGCCTTCTCTGTTCCAAGAAAATAACCCCAACCTCTCCAACCTTTACTCATCATGAAACCTACTTTCCTGACCATATACTTGTAAGTCTTCTCAGGAACTATCTCTGATTTGTTTGGGCAGGACACAGCACTCTAGCAATGGCAAAAACTGATACTTTAAACAAATAGATGTTGGAGTTGTGGAATGAAAACTGAAATTCCCTTGACCAACTCTTTTGTCATTTGATCTTTCCTGTCTTCCACCCTATCAAATGTTTATTTCCTTTTGTTTTTTCACGCCACCCTTCTCCTTTCACTTGCTTAATACCTATAGCACTTCTTATGTTTTCAAATTTTTGATGAAAGGTATTGACTTAAACTGCTAACATTTTCTTTTGCCACAGAATATGTCTGACCTGACCTTTTCTATTAGTGTTATGTACAATTCTAGCTTAAACTTTCCATTTTTATATTCTGTACCTTGGCTAATAAAGGAGTGTATCACATATATTTTCTTAACCACCTGGCTTGCTATCTTCCAGATTTCATAGAATTCCCTACAGTGGGGAAACAGGCCATTTGGCCCATCTAGCCCACACAGACCCTCCCAAACAGCATCCCAACTGGACCCACCCCATTCCTGTGACATTGCATTTCCTGTGGCCAATCAATCTAACCTGCACATCTCTGGACTGTGGCAGGACACCAGAGCACCGAGAGGGAACCCACGCAGACACGGGGAGAATGTGCAAACTCCACACACATTGTTGCCCAAAGGTGGAATTGAATCCAGGTCCCCAGCACTGTGAGGCAGCAGTGCTGACCACTGTGCCACCCTGGCAGTAGACAAACACTCTAAGATTTCTGTATTTCCCAATACTTCTCAGTGCTCATTTGTCACTTTTACACTGGCCTGACAAGTTAATTGATATCTTCCAGCATCCAGAGCTTTCTTCCTCATTATCAGCCACCCAGCCAAGTTTTATATCATCTGTGTTCTTCTTAAATATACCCCCTACATTCAAGTGGTTTGCTTAGTTGGCTGGATGGCTGGTTTGATATAAAGTGATGTCAACAGTGTGGGTTCAATTTCTGCACTGGCTGATGTAACTATGAAGAACTGTCCTTTTCAATCTCTCCCCTCGCCTGAGGCATCGTGAACCTTAGGTTAAACCACCACCAGTCATATCTCTTCTCTAATGAGAGACTAGGTTTGATAGGAATATAGTAATTTTACTCACTCTATTATCTAGAAGCAGGTATGTTCATTTATTTCAAGAATAAATGAATAATTAAGTACTGTAAGTTTTTTGAGAATATTTTAAATTTGGACGGTAAAATTTGTGGGTGAGATGCTCATTGTGAAACTACTTGACATTTTCCCTCTGTGACGTATGATAAGGAGAACTGGTCCAACTCTGCATTTTAAGATTTGGCAATCGGTTGAAAATGATCTTCAATGCTCTGTTGATCTTTGGACAAGTTTGTTTTGTGAAAATGTGTTCTAGCCTCTGCATTGACAGCATAAAGGTGGTATCACATAGTGAGATGATTCTTTCACTGACTGCACATTGTAGGGTGCTGCTGGATATTCAGGGCCACAAGGGGAACCAGGACCCAAGGGTGAAATGGTAAGTGCCTCAATGTTCATTATTGTCAATTTTGATCAGTTCTTATTAACATCAATTTATGGTTATAGAATGAGAACAGCAATATTTAATAAACAGGACACTGATTTTAAAAATGTATTTTAAGGGAGATACTGGAGAACCTGGTGAAGAAGGCAGTGCTGGGTCCCCTGGAGAGGTGGTGAGTACTGTTCCAAAGGACAATCAGTTCCACATAAATAAATACTTGATCCAGGAATTCGTTGTATCCATTCAAATCACAATTTGTTACATTGTTTGACAGATACTGGAATTAATTTCTAATTTAGTTGTATTTATTGTTTGCAAAAGGGTTCTCCAGGAAACCCAGGACCCTCAGGGCCCCCCGGTATCAAGGGATTAAAGGTGATTTCCAAGAAATTCTTGTCTTTTGTTTTTGAACTGAAACAGAAGGTAAACTATATAGAGAAATTAGATCTAGAAATAAAGTAAGCCAAGTGGGTAGAACGTGATCACAAAAATATGAATATATAAAAAATAGAAACTATATAAATAAAATATCTTTGCAATAGATGCTAGAAAGCAAAATGTACTTTTTGCTAGGTAAGATAGTGGAACCAACGTCATTAGGAATGTTTAACATGTTGCTGCATATGTGGACGTTTAGGGAATTTGGATAGCATGACAGTCGGGATACTATGAGGATGAATTGGTACATCATTGGATATGTTAGAGTTAGATTGCTAAGTAACTGGGAACAATGAAAATCAGGGATGCTATGTGGTTAGATATGGTAAATGTTAATTATGGTGAATATGGTAAACAACATAAATGGAAAAATGAAAGTTAATGTAGTTTATTGCTAGATAGTATGTGAATTATGATATTAAAAAGCAGGATGCTGTGTGAGTTAAAATGCTGTGCAATTGGACAGCATGAGAGTTAGAAAAGTTTTTGTTGGATAGACTGAGAGTTTGTGCCCTACAAGGAGTGAGTTCAATGTTCCAAATGACTTTTGTCCTTGACTTTTCTCTATTTCCTATTTCTCTGAATTATTAACATGATTTTGTATCTCTAAATGTAACAGGGATTCCCTGGTGATCCTGGATTCTCAGGAGATATTGGGGAACCAGGAGATATGGTAAACTCTTGCAGTTCCGCACTTTATATTTGCGTGTAAATTTACTCAAGTATGTGAATTGTTACAAGATTATCAGAGACTCACACGTTATTAGTGGTCAATCAGTTTCTTTGTTGCAATTGTACTTCTTTAAACATAGTTATTCTTTTACCAAAGCCTTTATCAGATTCAGAACTTCTCACTCTGGAAAAAGTCACTTAAAACTGTCCATGTGTAAAAATAGCATATAATTACAAATTTTGTTAAGAGTTTGACCTTATGACTGTTTATAGCTGTAAAATAGCTAATCGAGGTGTGTTTATTCCTGAGGTGAAAATGCAGTTTTTCATTTGTGAGGCTCAATATTATTCAAGGAACAAACACCCCTAGCTGCAGAGATAGAAGGAACTGCAGATGCTGGAGAATCTGAGATAACAAGGTGTAGAGCTGGATGAACACAGCAGGCCAAGCAGAATCAGAGGAGCAGGAAGACTGATGTTTCGGGCCTAGACCCTTCTTCAGAAATGGGGGAGGGGAAGGGGGTTCTGAAATAAATAGGGAGAGAGGGGGAGGCAGATAGAAGATGGATAGAGGAGAAGATAGGTGGAGAGGAGACAGACAGGTCAAAGAGGTGGGGATGGAGCCAGTAAAAGTGAGTGTAGGTAGGGAGGAGATGGGTCAGTCCAGGGAGGATGGACAGGTCAAGGGAGCAGGATGAGGTTAGTAGGTAGGAGATGGGGGTGGGGCTTGAGGTGGGAGGAGGGGACAGGTAGGAGGAAGGACAGATTTGGGAGGTGGGGACGAGCTGGGCTGGTTTTGGGATGCGGTAGGGGGTGGGGAGATTTTGAAGCTTGTGAAGTCCACATTGATACCATTGGGCTGCAGGGTTCCCAAGCGGAATATGAGTTGCTGTTCCTACAACCTTCGGGTAGCATCATTGTGGCACTGCAGGAGGCCAAGGATGGACATGTCATCTGAGGAATGGGAGGGGGAGTTGAAATGGTTCGCAACTGGGAGGTGCAATTGTTTAGTGCGAACCGAGCGTAGGTGTTCTGCAAAGCGGTCCCCCAGCCTCCGCTTGGTTTCCCCGATATAGAGGAGGCCACAACGGGAACAGCGGATGCAGTATACCACATCAGCAGATGTGCAGGTGAAGATCTGCTTGATGTGGAAAGTCTTCTCGGGGCCTGGGATGGGGGTGAGGGGGGAGGTGTAGGGGCAGGTGTAGCACTTCCTGCAGTTGGAGGGAAAAGTGCCGGGTGTGGTGGAGCTGGAGGGGAGTGTGGAGCGGACAAGGGAGTCACGGAGAGAGTCACGGAAAGCAAATAAGGGTGGGGAGGGAAAAATGTCTTTAGTGGTGGGGTCGGATTGCAGATGGCGGATGTGTCGGAGGATGATGTGTTGGATCCGGAGGTTGGTGGGGTGGTACGTGAGGACAAGGGGGATTCTGTTTTGGTTGTTATTGCAGGGAGGCGGTGTGAGGGATGAGTTTCGGGAAATGCGGCAGACACGGTCGAGGGCGTTCTTGACCACTGAGGGGGGGAAGTTGCGGTCCTTGAAAAACGAGGACATCTGAGATGTACGGGAATGGAATGTCTCATCCTGGGAGCAGATGCGGCCGAGGCAAAGGAATTGGGAATAGGGGATGGCATTTTTGCAGGAAGTGGGTGGGAGGAGGTGTATTCTAGGTAGCTGTGGGAGTCGGTGGGCTTGAAATGGATATCGGTTTCTAGGTGGTTGCCAGAGATGGAGACACAGAGGTCCAGGAAGGAGAGAGAGGTATTAGAGATGGTCCAGGTGAACTTAAGGTTGGGGTGGAAGGTGTTGGTGAAGTGGATGAACTGTTCGAGCTCCTCGTGGGAGCACGAGGCGGCGCCGAAACAGTCATCGATGTAACGGAGGAAGAGGTGGGGTTTAGGGCCAGTGTAGGTACAGAAGAGGGATTGTTCCACGTAACCTGCAAAGAGGCAGGCATGGCTTGGGCCCATGCGGGTACCCATGACCACCCCCTTTGTCTGTAGGAAGTAGGAGGAATTGAAAGAGAAGTTGTTGAGGGTGAGGACGAGTTCGGCTAAGCGGATGAGAGTGTCAGTGGATGGGGACTGGTCGGGCCTGCGGGACAGGAAGAAGCGGTGGACCTTTAGGCCATCTGTATGGGGAATGCAGGTGTATAGGGACTGGACGTCCATGGTAAAGATGAGGTGTTGGGGACCAGGGAATTGGAAGTTCTGGAGGAGGTGGAGTGTGTGGGTAGTGTAACGGACATAAGTAGGGAGTTTCTGGACCAAGGGGGAGAAAATGGAGTCGAGACAGGTGGAGATAAGTTCAGTGGGGCAGGAGCAGGCAGAGACAATGCGTCGACCAAGGCAGTCAAGTTTGTGGATTTTGGGAAGGAGATAGAAGCTGGCGGTGTGGGGTTGGGGAACGATGAGGTTGGAGGCTGTGGGTGGGAGGTCACCTGAGGTGATTAGGTTGTGGATGGTTTGGGAGATGATGGTTTGGTGGTCGGGGGTGGGGTCATGATCAAGGAGGAGGTGTCAGAGAGTTGGCGCCTGGCCTCGGCGATGTAGAGGTCAGTGTGCCATACTACAACTGCGTCTCCCTTGTCTGCGGGTTTTATGGTGAGGTTGGGAATTGGAGCGGAGGGCTGCACATTCTGCGGGGGAGAGGTTGGAGTGGGTGAGAGGAGTGGAGAGGTTGAGGCGATTGATGTCTCAACGGCAGTTGGAGATGAAGAGGTCGAGGGAAGGTAGGAGGCCTTGGGGTGGTGTCCAGGAGGAGGGGGTGTGTTGGAGGTGGGAGAAGGGGTCAGTAGAGGGAGGGTTAGGCTCACGTTTGAAGAAGTGAGCGCAGAGGCGGAGGCGGCGGAAAAACCGCTCAATGTCTAAGCGTGACCGGTATTTGTTGATGTTTGGGTGGAGGGGGACAAAGGTGAGCCCTTTACTGAAGACTGACCGTTCGTCCTCAGTAAAGGGGAGGTCTGAGGGGATGGTGAAGACCCGGCAGGGCTGGGTGCTGCTGTCTCCTCTGGAGCTGCTGGCTGTGGAAGCGGTGGGCAGAGCGACATCGGCGTCGGTGGTGGGTGGAGCGGGGTAGGCCACGGCAGCAGTGGTGATCGTAGGTGCGTCCTCAGTGTCTATGGTGTTGGCCTCAGAAATGGAGGCGATGGCATCAGCAGCGGTGTCGATGGCGTTCGCTGTCCCAGAAGTGGTGTACCCGGCGGCGGAGGATGTGACATCATCTGTGGGTGCTCCGACAGTGGCCACATGGCCAATGGCAGCGGGCACATTGTGGGGAAGGTCCTGGGTTGGGTTGGGGATTTGGGAGGTGGAGGAAGCCCGTTTTGGGTGGTAGGCACCAGTAAGTTTACTGTACTTACGGTTTTTAGTGTCCAATAAAGCTGAGTAGAATTGGGAGTTCAAGTTGTGGATCCTACGAAGAATAAAAAACAGGTGAGGTCCTTTGCAGGTCTGGGAGAGGGAGGCTTTGAGCTGGGGTAGTCTTGATTGTGGTGCCAGGAGATGTTGGCGCATTGCTATGAGTGTGTGTTTCAGGAGTCGTAGGGAGTGTAACGCTTCTGAAGGATTTCAATGTTCTGAATGTAGACATTGTCACGGTTGGTGCCAAATTGGGAAGGCCTGAATGTGGACTGTAATCCATTGGGGATGATCTGGTTCTGTAGGCAGGTACTAAGAAATGTGATGTGGCTGCAGTACCTGCTTTGCTTCAGGACATGGTCGAGCAGTTTCAAGGCCGAAGAGATTACAAGAGAGTTGCAGTGGGAGAGAGATCCACTGAGGTTTTTCCAGAGGGAGGAGGGTAACTTCTTCAGGGTAGGCATCCTTAGAAGAGGCTTCGCAGTGGGGTTAAAATTGTTTGAGATAGTAGGAACTGCAGATGCTGGAGAATCTGGGAAAACAAGGTGTAGAGCTGGATGAACACAGCAGGCCAAGCAGCATCAGAGGAGCAGGAAGGCTGACGTTTTGGGCCTAGACCCTTCAGAAATGGGGGCGGGGAAGGGGGTTCTGAAATAAATAGGGAGAGAGGGGGATCAGAAATGGGGGAGGGGAAGGGGGTTCTTGTTTCTAGGCCAGAAATGTCAGCCTTCCTGCTCCTCTGCTGCTTGGCCTGCTGCGTTCATCCAGCTCTACACCTTGTTACCCCTAGCTACAACTCATTCAGTTCTTTTAATGTGTTCTGATGAAAGGGTGAGCTATACAAAACAATACAAAATGAAAATAATTTTCCTGTAAGAAAATATGTATACGCTTGCTCTGTGAGCAGCTCAGCAAAGTTTCACTCAGTTGATTCCTGAGATACAAGGGATGACTTATGAGGAAAGGTTGAGCAGCTTAGATCTATACTCATTTGGTTTTAGAAGAATGAGCAGTGGACTCATTCAAACAATGTTGAGAGGATGTTTCTTCTTTTGGGGGAATCTGGATTCAGGAGACATAGTTTAAAAACAATTTACGATGAAGATGAGAAGGGATTTCATTTCCGAGATTGTTAGTTTATTTGAATTTTTCTCTGCAGAGGACAGTGGAAGCTGTGTCATTGATTATATTTAAGGCTGTCAGGAAAGGAAATGGCATTAAAGACAATAATCAGGTCAGCCCTAATCTTAGATGAAAGGCAGAATAGGCTCAAGAGGCTGAATGAGCAAATCCAGCTTCTGTTCCTTATGATTTCATTATGATTTCCTTGCTACCATAAACTTAACTGGCCCAAAGATCTTCTTACTAACTCTTAACAACTTACCTCTCACCTTCCACTTCATTCTGCTGATCTTCCTGCTTGGCACTGCTTGCTTGCTGCCTCTCCCGATCCTCCCACCCACTGCCTCACCTGACCCACCGGCTCACCACTTCCCTGACCCTCTTGCTTGCCTCTTACTGACCCTCCACCCTCTTTCCACCTTATCCCTTTTGCGCCCTCCCTCTCGGTGTTTCCGTCCTGAGCCCTCAGTCAAAGTGAGGACTCAGGAGAGAAGTGGCGAGCAAGAAGCGGCGAGGGAAGGG